ACTCGCAGATAAAAGACCCTCCTTGCTTCAAGTCAGGGCTGCTTGCCACTTTGGGGTCAGCCCAGGCGTTTTACTTTAATAAACTCCTTTGCCTGAACATAGGGTGTGTGCTCTTTTTCAGCAAACCTTACAGCCACCAACATCCACCCAGTGGGTTAGGCATTTTATTTTCTCTTTCTCTCAGCTTTGCGCCCAACTTCTCTGCAAGGCTTGACAACTCTCTCTCCAAAGTGTAACTCAAACCTGCCTGCTTCTCTCCAGGTCGTCTCCAGGTCCATGCCGCCATTGTTCTCTGTGGACGTACTGCAGAAGCTTATGGAGTGGTTTTCCGGCTGCCTTCCTGTGCCCCCACTCATGAGTCCTCCACACAACAGTGATCTTGCAAGTCTAAATCAGATGGCGCCAGACCCCACCTTGAACCCTCAGTGGCATTCTGCTGCTCTTCAGGGGAATTCCAAGCTCCTGGCCATGACCTGCAAGGCCTTGTGTGATGCAACCCCTGCCCATCCTCCCAAGCTCACCCCCCATCACTCTCCCTCCTGTTCCAACCACCAGCCTCCCTTCTGCTCTTTCCCGTCTCAGGGCCTTTGCACTTCCGGCCACCACTTCCTGGAAGAGCCTTCTAGGAATTTTAACGACTAGTTCATTCAAATTTCAGTTCGCAAAGCCCCTCCTCAACCACTCCAGGAAAGTAGTCTCTCTCATGCCAGCCCATTGGCTCATCTATGCCCTTCTTAGAAATGATCACAGTCTACGATCGTCTCATTTATTCATGATCTATCAATGTCTCTCCTTTTCCAGAATGTAAGTGCCATAGAGGCCAGCATGCGTCTGTCCTGCTCATCACAGTCCCCAGCACCCACCTAGGGACTGGTTTGTCATATACTAGTTGGGTCATCTCAAAAAAGGCTTAACCTCAGCAGGTGGATGGGCAGTAGAAAAGCATGATTCCCATGTAAGAGACTGACCAAGAAAGTCTCGTTAAGAATTTCCTGTTTGTAGGCCAGGAATGGTGGCTCAAGCCTGTAATCCCAGCACTTTGGGAGGCCGAGGTGAGAGGATTGCC